CCCTGCAGGCTGCAGCCACAAGTGGACCCAAGTCTCAAGATTCATGCAGCACTGCAAGTGCACCTTGCAAGTTGCAATTTGCAAGTACGCTGATGATTCGGTTCAGCATCTGTAACTGCAACGTGAGAGCCTCACTTGAGAATGATGCAACGCAGTCAGGGCCGCGGCCCAAGGCTTGGGGGGATTACGTTGCTTGAGGGGGAAATGCTGTCTCGCGGCTTGGTCTATGCAGGAAACGAAGTCACTCATAGATTCTGATGTTGCTGAGGAAGACGGCGGTGTGGTCCGGGTGGGCAAGGCGATGGTCCTACCACCTAGACAGGATTGGGTGTCACGACCTTGGTTCGCTAACAAATCGGCCCTCACGTTACCCCTAACACCCGAGTGACCCTTGACCCATTGGAAATGAGTAGTTAGTCCGGCGTTATAAGCCAGGTTCTGGGCCAGGGAAACTAGGTCCTTTTTAGTTTTGGGTCGCCAAATACCCTTTATCATATGAATTGACCATTGACTGTCCGTGTGAATGACCACCTGCGTGTACTCATGTTCCAGCGCAAACAGGAGGGCTTCGATTATGGCTGAGAGTTCACCCGTATTGTTAGAACCAACTTGAGCCCCTATAAACTTGAGGCCAATCATTGCCCTGTGGCGCGCACCACCCCCAACCTGCGGGTGTGGACCTAGTACATCTGCCCTTAGAACCGGATCCATCTGTGTAGAACGTGATTTTGGCGGTGTGGTCAACAGTCAACAGAGGCTTCTGCTTGTGGCTGCTGTCGACCCTGAGTGGTTCTATTGAACTTATCCCTTAAAGCTTGGTCAACCTTGGCGAAGTCTAACTTGGGAACGTACTTAGGGGACTGCTTCCTCTGGGCTAGCTTTATTTGGATCTCAGTGACTAAGAGGTAGTGGTCTGACGGGAATCCTGTGTAAAGTTTGGATCTACAAGAGTTGATAGAGGGTAGCCACTGTCTCCTAGCGAACATGTGATCCAATCTTTGATACCTAGTGGGTTCTGGGTGAGGAGTATTCTTGCTAGATGGAAGGGGTTCAGGGAGGTCCAGGAAAGATCTGATGTGTGAAGAGACACCCAAGGCCTGCTCATCTGTAGTTGAGTCTTTGTGGATCTTTGTATACACCTGCTGAAGGATAAGGGGATCCAAAAGGAACTGCCCCCAATCTGTTGGTGGCGCTGTCTTATCTTCGTAAGTGATTTGATGAGTGGGATTGGGGGTCTTGCAGGAAGCAGCTTCAACCATGTCTAGCAGCGTCATAGTCTTGACAGACAAGGATCTATTAGAGGAGGCGGTGTGGTCAATGTGCCTTCTGCCTTTACCATAAGTGAACGGGCCTGTGACTCCTGAATCATTGGGCTGCTGAGCCTGGAATCTAAGATTGAAATCCCCTGTGATGTAGACTGGCTCTGGTTGTGGTATTTTGTCAACATAATCCTGTAATGAGTCCCAGAAGGGTTCCCTGACACTGTCATGGTCCAATCCAGAATGTGGTGCGTAAACTCCTAGGACATGAACTCTACCTCCCTTCTTGTTGAGGGTGATGCGCAACAATCTGTTACTAACCTGAACAATGTCAGCAATGCAAGGTCTAATCTTGGGGTGGATGATCGCACCTACACCTGCATACTTATCCTTGTGGTTACCTGACTGGATGACTAAGTGCTGCTCTGAGGTGTAGGAATAATAGGCAGTAGACTTAGTTTCAGACAGGATAAGGATGTCTAGGCTATGCTCTGCCATCATCAGGACAAGATTTTTGAGCTTCAAGGTGTCTGCCATGCCCTGAACATTCTGAGCACCTACCCTAAGCTCATAATTATAAGCTAAAGGCGGTGTGGTCTGGATTCTCTCTCTGGCAGGCTTCTTCTTCCTCTGGATGTGTTGCTGCCACTCGATGGCATGTCTGAATATAGCGGCTTTGTTCTGGGAGACTTTTGTGGACTTGGGGGGTGTGGCCAAAAGGGAGTCCGCCCCCCCTGGCACGTGTTGTTTGCATTCGCGACACCAACGCCGATAGGACTGTCTACGAAGTCTACGACGGTTGGCCCCCTGTTGCGAAGCATTGACACCCCCCAAAGGTTGGGATCTCTCTTCGATCGCCCGAAGGCGCCCGGTGTGCCTCGTGGAGGCGGAGTTCGAGGCTTGAGCGGCATGGTTTGAATTCCTGTAAATTCCTAAATTCTTATCCCTTCGGGAAGCATGCTTTCTGATTTTATAATATTGGGGTTGAAACTCAGCACTGAAAATTTAATTCTCCTACCTGTCCTTGAAACTGACTTCTTCTTTGAAGAAGTTGTATGGCTTGAAGGCGGTGTGGTCTGTAGAGTTAGGGGTGTGAAGTCTTTAGGAAGAACATCATCTTTGGGGGTAACAAATTTGAGCAAAGTGGTTCTGTCATAGCAAAAAGAATTTGAAGTTGGGGGGCTGACAAGATACTCTAACAAAAGAACAGTGTTACCATTAAGAGAGTGCATCAGCTTGTTTCTACTCCTTTGAGTGACTAGCTGAAACCCCTCAGAAACTTGGTGGAGCTGCGGTGTGGTTTGGCTTGAGAGATCCTGAAAAAGCTCTGAAAGGCATGGTGGAGCTTGAGAAAGTTTCAAATATTGCTCAACACCATTCTGCGCTGCAAACTTGAAAGGCTGTCTGAACGGGAGTTGAGAAAGTTTCAAATGGTCTCCTGTATACTGAAGATGCACTAAGATCCATTGTGAGGAGGTGTGGTCAAAGTAGATTGAAAAATAATAGCTAAAGTACCTGTGGATCTTGTCTGTGCACCAGGTAGGCCTTCAGGCTCCCTTGGTGTTCCTGCCACGTCCTTTGGACTTGGCTGGAACTGTGGAACTTTTGGGAGCAGGTGGCGCTGCTGGAGCAACTGCCTTTGAAAGATTAGGCGGAGTGGTCTGGGGAACTTCTTCCCCATCCAACTCCATATCAGCTCCTGTTGGGACATAGGTGGCCGGCTTTCCCCCAAAGGTGCATGCTTTTGGGTCCTGCACTTTCTCATTTGGGTTGCCAGCCTTGGCGCAAAATTCGTCCCAGATAAATGCAACTTTCTCTACAGTATGCATGTCCAAATGGAATGGATATGGGGAGAAATAGCTGTTGCGCAAGAGGGCTGATGACAGTGTTTTCGGCCAACTCCATATGACGTGCCACGGCCCGTCATCTTGGATTCCTGACGGGCGGTGTGGTAAGCCGCTTGCTCCATTTGATCAAGTTCCCACTGATTTCCCCAAATCACCTCATTCCATTTCTCAATCCACAGGGTTTGATCCTTTGAATCAACTGTGGATGGATTTGCCTGCAGGAATTCTTGCAAGCTCAGGCCCCACCTCACTAAATGAGCCCTCAAACTCTTCATACAAAATGCGACCCCAGGCGGTGCGGTCTGGGTCGAAGTCAGGGCTGTCTGTTGGCGCCATGAGGGTTAGGGACTTCCACAAGATGATGAGCCTTTTGCTCTCTGTATCCGGGTGCGAATTTCAGCAAGCAATCAGAACACGAAGAGGTGCTTCCAGTTTACGCTGCCATTGAGGAGCGCAAGGACTAACTCTGATGTGTCTGCCAGCTTGCGGTGCGGTCTCGGAGGTGTAGAGTGGCGTTCCTGACGAATCTCCGTACCTCCGCAAAAATGCGCTACGGATGTCCCAGCTTTTGAAAGTTAACATCGTCATAGCGCTCCACCACTGCCCCTGTGGAACTGTTGTAGGATCCACGCTCAAGCTGTTGAACCAGAACGAAGGCTGGAGCTGAAGGGCGGCGTGGTCTTCCATTGCCAGGAGCCCACGGTTTTTGAGGTAGGTCACAATCTCCGGCACCTGGCTAAGCATCCACCCGAGCATAAACTGGCACTCTTCAGGTCCGAGGCCTGTTGGCCATCCAGTAGTCACCAGCATCAGGCCCGACGGGTGCTTCTGCATAGCACGGTTGTCGCTGGCCATAAATCTCAGTTCGCTTTGCGTCAGGAAAATGCGGTCATGCAGGACCTTCATCGCACTTTCCAGTTGCACAACAGCACCATAAAGCTCTGGACGAGTCACTGCTTTATGGTAACCACGAACCAATTGCAGGACCTCACGGGCGGTGTGGACTGGGGCATTGAAGAAGTTCTCGACTGCCTGAGGGTTATTGATGTCATGCCCCATCACTCCAGCTGTAGCCTGTAAGGCGGCGTGGTCGTCGAGCTCGCGCGTCACGACCAGCTCCAGTTGTCCGGTGACCTACGTGGTAGCCTCCGGTTCGACCTCCTGCGGTGTGGCCAGGCTCGAAGCCACGGGGGTTGGCGGCCCTCTCTTCTGGCGGCTGTAACTGTCGAAAAACAGCCGCTGGTTGGCGGCGCTGCTGCTCCACTGCTCCAGCGTCATTGACGAGGAGGCTGACTGGTCCGCCATGGCAAAGTGCGCTGGCGGTGTGGTCAAGAGACCAAAAAAAATGTGAAACTTGTCTTGCACGTGCAGTGCTGCTGCCAGCCGATACACCTCTGTTTAAGCTTTAGGGTTGGAGGTTGCAGGGCTTCAGGTTTTGAAAGGCTTTGGGGCGTGGAGTTCTTGGGATTGAGGATTTGAAAGTTTTCACTGTATGCCGCTCCAGCAGTTGAAAAATGCTTACGGATTTAATTAGGGCTTGGCTGTATAGGTTGGACTCTTGGGTTTTAGGGCTTAGGGGCCCTAAGGATCGATAAGGCGTCTAGGGTTTGGTGACTAGGGTTTCTAGTGCTATGAGCTTTAAGGTCTTAGGAATTAAGAGGTTTGAAGGCTTTTCAAGGATTTAGGTCTGTGTGTTTAGGATTCAGGGAGGCTCGCGGTTTCAGGGCTTCATTGTATTTCGGACTTTTGTGGTTCTGGGGTTTCGCGATTTCAAGCCCTGCAAGAGCAGTGGTGTCAGCCCAAAATCTGATCTGTATTGGGGCGAAATGTCAGGACGCTTCAGGCAAGAGCACATTTCAGCGAGAAAAAAAAAAGTCACATGTTGAACCCAGAACTGCAGAACAAAAAGTCGCAAGCGATAAAGCTGCAAAAAAACACACCACATGACTCACATGACACTAGAACAAATGCCACAAGCCATGGGAGCTCTGGCTCAAGAAGTGGAACAGTAAGAATGCAAAGCATCTAACTCTTAAGCCAGCAAGCGGCAGCATAGCAAACCGGAACTCCCTGATGTGATAGAGCTCACCTCCCACGGGCAGCAAGAGCGAAGACTTTGAGGTTGGCAATATCACCTGGGAAGCACATTGAACAACGTGTGAAATAGTTTCATGACACGCCGGCCTCGGAGGACAGGCTCCATGTTTGGCCTCAGGACTTTGATGGCCACCTTCCCAACACGGAGAGTAGCGAGACTTTGCGTGGAAGGTCTGCGGGCCTCCCGGCCGTCATTGAGAACAGCGCGGTGAACCTGCTCACTATGACCTCTCTAGAAGCTCCACAAAGGTAAAGAGAAATGCGCTTCGAGTCCTGCGCAATGGAAGCTGTGCCCAGTGGCTCGTCTTCGAAGTCCTTTAAGAGTTCCGAGAGACTGCCACCGCCGCAAAGCTCCTGGCGAAGCTGCTCTTATCCTGTCTCGCGCTGCAAGGCGCGCATGCGCCTTGGAAACGATATCACGAATCTCAGCCGCATCCACCGGAGGCAGGCTGTCCTCGCTATCCCAAAGAGCAGCGCATGAATCTCTGGCTCTCAAGTGCTGGAATACTGTCTCAAGTGCTTCAATACTGGCATCTGTTGTGCTTGTCTTTGGGTTTTGCTTTTCTTTCCTCCACTCACTTCTTTTTCTTCATTTGACCAACTGGACTGAAATACAGGCCCCAAACGGCCAGCCAGGAAAAAAATCAAAAGAAATCCAAAAAGAAAGAAAAGGTACATGACGCAGACAAAAAATTGTATGCAAAAAAAAATTGCTTGTAATGGGCTTTGATTGTAAGCACGTGAAAACATTTGCAACAAGTTTAAATTACGATTTTGGACCCACTGTGACAACTTACATCTTTTATGGTTACGTCGCAATGAAAAATTTGTTTTGTTTTCTTCATAAATGCATAAGTATTTCTTCATAGTCAATGTTAGAAACTTTTTTATGAATGAATCGTTCAACAAAAAAATATTTTCATGTAATCAAACAAAAGAATCATTCACAAAAATCTCAAAGGGCAATACGCGCTGCACAATTTTTCCCGAGAAAAATGTACCTTAAGCTTCCAGGTTTCACAAGCAACCGGGTAACAATCTTGTCCATATCAGCAAAACAATACTTTTCAACATGTCTGGGCATTTGCAATGTTGAACACAACCTTGAAAAAATTAAAATTCAATGGCAAGTACAAATCCCATTTGCGGTTGCGTGCGCTTGCTTGCGCAACCGCCAAATAACAATATTGTATTTGCGTTAGGAATACCAGGATCATGGTATACGCAGTGGATTCCTGACCGGAATTCAAGCACAACAAAATTTACGATGGTTTTTACCACGGTGTTTGTGGCAGGTTTTGCAACGGCCGAATTCTACTAGCACGGTAGCTGCGATCGTTTTGCAACATTGTCAAATCATGAAATAATCCTTGATCTGCAGGCCGAAAATCCTGGAAGACTACTTCATTTGTAGGCGGTGGCAACTGTTGAAAGGAGCGATGAAAAATATATTGAATATGGATTGGGGGAGCTTCTGAGGGCAGGTCATTCTGAGGAATCATAAGTCTTCTCTGTATCGTGGAATCTAGTTGTTGTCAAAGCCACAAGCAACCTGTGCAAAAACACAACAAGGAACATTAGAAGTAAGGATTTCTGCTAAGGATTTCATTCATCCAATAAAATGGCACATCCAAGTATTACAATATGTCAACATGTTCCCTTAACAATCGCAATTTCGAGCTGGTGAGAATCTTATCCTGCGCGGGCAGCGATTACTTGCAACAAGCCTTCGCGTGGCGAGGTTGTTAGTTCCAACCTCTATGCCTGCGGTAATCGCGAAAGAGTGGCACCACGCTTCTCAACTGGCTGCTTTGCCGCTTTACAATCAATCCTAGCCAAGAATGGTGAACTGCATTGCTAGATCCCAGATTTGGCACAATTCCATGTGCTTCTGAACTCCAGTCAACCGCTCCCGTGGAGCTGTTGGCAAGTTTTTGCTTGCAGCTTCTAAAACATGAAAAAAAATTGAAATCTGTCTGGTTATCTGGTTGATCGGATGATATGGTGGACATCAAGCACATTGGCTCGTCATGTCGTGACTGAAGAATGGCTGGCCAGCTGGCTTGCATGAACAGAAGTTTGCAAAAGTGGGCGCCTCATGTTCAGGACCATTGCATGCAAAGGCTGAACATGGAAACCTTGCCCAGACTAGTGTGGAGGACAGTGGGCAAGGCCCAAATGCTCAATGCTGCATGCAATCAGCTGAGTCCTGCAAGATTCGCAAGCGCTCGGTGTACCTGAGTGGTCTGCTTCCAGGCATAGAGCCAGTGCGCTCAGCAGCCCAATTTCTAGCCAGGCGGCGGTTTCGAGAAAAGGTCCACACGTGTGGACAGTACCTGCCAGCATCAGTCTAGCTTGCAAGCATTCTCTTAAGCACAAGCAGTTGTCCTAGGCCTACACGAAACAAGCCTGTGTGGGTGTGCGTGCGCATTGCCTAAGAACCTGCGTTATGACACTGGTACAGCTGGCAGTTCAAAAATGCTCAACCAGTAATCTTTTGCTACATTCCTCTCGTGCCAGCTCCAAGCTATTTGTCCATTCACAAGATTAGAAAGACATGATCATGCGAGCGAATATTGAATATGGCCAACGTTTGAACCACAAAAAAATGAAAAAACAAAAAAACACACACACACACAACACCCACACCATATGAATTGTGGGATCTCAAGACAACGCAAATTCAAGTGAAGAAGAGGCAGCTGTCTGCGAGCCTGTCCAGTCTTCACATAGAAGCCACCCAGGCTTAAAAGAGCTTCCTGCAGCCTGGGAGCACGAAAGAAACTACAAGCTGCAACTATCAACGCTGCACATGCTTCTTCTAAGCCTCCGGCTTCTTGGAGCCCCATTCGTCCATCTCCGCGGTCAGCTCCTCTCCAGTCTTCTCTTCCAAGCCTTCGCAAATCGCATGAAGTCACAGTGTGCTCGGGCGCAGCACCGATAAATGCACCATGCCTAGGCTATGAAGCCATGGGCGCACAACGTACTGACCCAACCTCTGCAGATTCCCACCCTATCTATCCGCACGGACACCATGTCACACCGGAATCTTGGGCGTGGACACCGGAAGAATGGTTGAGTAGAACCTTTTGCAATCGCATACGAGCTCTGTATAGACAATAGTTAGTGCGCCGCATGACATGCGGCCTCAGCGACCTCGACAGTCTCCTCAGCACAACCGCGTCAAAAACTTAGTCAGGCTGCAAACATCCTGCACTTGTGCAAAGACAGCCCTGGGCAGGAAGCATGAGGCAAACCAGTGTCCCAACAGAAGAGGTTGTAGTATGCCACAACCCGCCGAGAGGCAACAGTAGGTGAGCAAGGCTAGGTACACTTTCTGTGGCTTCAGGCGTTTCATGATATGCTGTTGGACCGGCATGCTGTAACATTGGTACAGCAGCGTAGGCAACAGCAAACACAAGATGCAACGAAGCTAGAAGCTAGCTTCTGCGTACATGTCGTTAAGCGTAACAGATGGGCAATGCTGAGGTCACTTCATTGCGGCTGAGGGTCTGAAGGGGCGACAGCGTTGCCACATCCTGAATGTCAAATGGCGGCCAGCAACGCAATAGAGTTCTCGACAGCTGGCCGTGGCAGCTTTGATGCGCTGACGGCGAACTCGACGACACTGATGGTGGATGGACAGGACAAACAACCTGGCTCATTGCCCAGTAAACCAAACAAACACGTGCCAAAACAAGTTTTCTATAATCGGCGTGAGCAGATACGGGATAAGGTTTGGTCTGGCCACCCACTGGAACACCGAAGCACTCCCAAAAAAGCCGTTGAGTTGGTCTTTGCCTCTCGGGTGGCTTCTTTATGAAGTCTTGCCAAAGAAGCTGAGGCGCTGGCAACCTGAACGGCAGGCGCACCGGGAGTTGGTGGTGGCATCCTGTATCTGCACAAGCACATTTCACGCTGCAAGGCCCCGACTTGCATACTTGAGCATACTTGCATACCTTCCCTGAACCTCGACAGCCGCAAATGGCCGGAGGCCGATAAAAGTGGCGCGACAGCCGCCATGGCAGGGCTCGCAAAAACTCGCAGTAGCCTCACGGGTGCGTTTTAAGACTCAACTGCTTTTTTTTCTCATTTACATGCATGTGGCTGTTCTTGCTCAGCCAACCAGAAAACGGACAGGTGGACATCTGGCTCCTGCGGTGCAGGTCAGGAGCAGTTCGTCCTGCTACCACCATCTTTTGAGCGCTCATGCCACTGTACAAATGCCAACGCAGGGTGATACAGGTGAACTTAAACCAACTTCCTCGAAATCAAACCTTGCTCATTCGAGTGAACGGCAAAAGATCTCATTGCAACACACATGACCTGAGACCACTGAGCCAGACAAGACCGCTGACACATAACAAGGAATATCCACAAACCGAGAACTCTGAGACATCTGCTTTCCAGTCTTCTTCTTCTTGCCACCTTGCAGACAGTGACCATACAGCGATCAACTTGGTAGGCACACTGTGCGGCACACTCATACTGAAGCACAAGGAGACGACCTGAGGAATTCAAGAACAATAAGGAACAACATTTTACCAAAACAACACGAAGCTGTGCAAATGCAGGCAATACACCATCATCGATGCCTGCCCGCTCTAGGGAATCCCGAAAACAGAGTACATGAGTCAGCTTTGGCAGGGTTCACCGTCCATGAACAGCAAAAGCGCAAAACTTGAAAAGGGAATGCGCCACCACGAGCACTGTCAGACCATACTTTGCCCAGCCTTCTGCGGAAGTTGCAGATGCCGACGTCGCTGTGGCAGCCTAGGCACTACGCTGACAGCTTCGCTTTTGTCTGGGCTTTGCAATCCAAGGTAAAGACAGGCCCGGGCTGTGCCTCGCTTGGCTCAGACGCTTCTACATGAACTTGCGATGGATTCTCAATCAGCTCAAGACAAACAACAACTGAAGTAAAAAAGCGAAGCAACACCCTCAAATGATGCTGATGATGCTGGGCCGGGGGCCATGAAGTCCAACATCATCAGCATGTGTGTGGCTACATTCAGTGGTCCAATATTCACGCTTACGAAGGTTGTACAGGCTTCAGGAAGCCTTTGTCAAGTTGTGTAGTGTTGTCCCAAGCATGCCCGAAATGCCTACGCAAGGATGACACCTTTTGCCAAGAACATTACAAAGATTGGCATGGCCCCGACAGATGTGGGCTCTTCGTGCGAGCGCACAAGTTGAGAGGTGAGTCAGCGAAGCGTTAGCACTGGTTCGAAGCCCGGCCTCAGCCGACCTCCCGACCTCAGAAATCATTCCATGGTAAATTCTACCCCAAAATTCCCAAATCCTAAAAACAGGCAGTTTGCGAAAAACGCAACCACTTTTTGGCAATGCGACTAAACGCACCTGTTTTTGCGCGACTTGTTGCTGTTCCGAAATTACGCTCCTCATGTTTTGCACACTTTGTTTTTCGTTGGGCAATTGTCCGTGCCAGGTTGTGCGCTTTGATGTGGTTGTAACACACTTTCAGACAGTTTCGCGCGTGCAAAACTTTGTTTTGTTGTGTGTGTGTGTGTGTGCGTGTGATCTCCCTGTGGCCAATTCTAAGGGTGTTCTTTCTTGTTATTGCTTTCTTGTTTTTGCTTTTCAACGTATGCAGAACAGAAGGGCGCCCAAGGGCAATTATATGGCTTGGGCCAACGAAGACCATCCAATGAGCCGTGTAAACGTACCATTCTTTCTTCTTCCTCGTCCGCCTCGGCCTGTGAACTTAGCAAGTCTGACACCTCCTCAGGACCGTTGTAGAATGCTGGTGTGTGTGTGTGTGTGCTGTTCTGCTAGGCAGTCTAAGCCTCTCAATCACAGCATGGGCTAAATTCTCATCGCCATGCCAGCCAACCGGGGTCCACAAGTCAAAACACCAAATGAGACTTGCCAACCGCCAACTGCATCCTTCCCGAGAAAGGCTTTTTTCGAAAAAACAAAGGAATTTCTTCACATCAAACTCTGCACAGGAAAGAAACAAGTGCCTTGCTGCAACATGATAGTCCTTGCCTTCGGCTTGGCTTTTGGCTGCGCTTTTGGATGCGCCTTGGCAGCCGCCTGCGCTTGTTGCCAGGCTGCTTCTTGTGCCTGCCTCGACATTCCATCATCAAAGGCAAAAAACAAAATGGTAGTCTCTCTGAGCTTCCATCACGAAAGCTTCCTCATCCTGCTGCGCTTGGAGCTCCTCTGCATCACTGAAACTGAGTCTGAAGCTACATACTTTGTTGCGCACTGGAAGTTGTAAGACTGCGTCCTCCTGCATCATCTGCCAGGCAAGCTGAGCATCGGCATCCCTGACCATTTTGACTGTCTGTACAGCCACTTCTTCGTTCTTTTTGGCCGCGGTAAAGTCGAACGCTCTGAGCTTCCAGCTCCATACTCCCTGGCACATACGCCTTGAAGTCAAATCGAATTGCACTTGCTTCTTCTGGGCAGACTTCGGGACTGGTGCTCATGCACCATCTCTAGCTATTAATATGCATTGCAGCTTGCAATCTCTTGGCGGCGTCGGAAGAAGTCAAGACATGGCTGCAAAAACTAGTCCGATCTTTGCAGGGAAATAGCAGCATTTTCAAGTGTCGATGGCTCATGGCGGGGTATGCATGCAACTACGAGCCTATCACACGTAAAAAGTGCGAGATGCTACTTCTCTTTGTTCCCATTCGGTACCTCTCCTGCTTTGGAGCAGTTTTTGGAGAGGATGCTCAAACCCTTGATCTGCGTAGGGCACCAGCCTCTCCAACTGCATTCGCGGCCTGTGCACAGTGAATTCAATGTCTCAGCACACAGCCCAAAGTACATAAAACATGCATAAGGCCAGTGTTTCAAACAAATGCTCTTTGCCACCATGCAACTTCCCTGTGTGTCAGATTGCCGGCTGGCACATGCCGGGGTTGGAGGGTGCCTTTGAACTCAATGTGCTGCTTTACAGCACCAGCCCCTGTTCTGTTGCACATCTCCCCCGGCCCCACATGCACATGATAGGGTCGACGAGAAGTTTATTGCCAGGTATATCTAATGTCTGAGACGTTTGTCGGATGGCCGTCAGCTGGCAGGCTATCACCTTCAGTCGACCTGACCTATCCATCATTGAAATTGGGACTGGGCCCTGAGGAAGTTACACCCAGGCACCAGAGCTATTCGATAGTACCCTGTGGCGTGTCCCGGCATGGAGCCGCAGGTCTGTCTGTGGAATCCTTTTCACGACACTACACAGGCGCAAGGCTCGGCCCACAATTTTCATGGGAAGGGAGTAAGTTTTGACTTTGGCCGAGGAACAACTAGCATCAACTAGCCCAACAGACACTTGTTATAAAATCGCATTGGCGTGCGCAGAAAGGACAATGCTTTTCACACATACATGTTCATGCCGACCTCGTAGCACCTACACCACAGCTGGACAGTACACGAGGACTCCGCACTCAAACTCCAGAGAATCGGCCGTGCATCTCAGCCAGACAAGGTACCGCAGAGTGAAAACATTGATAACCATGCCGAAAGCATGACAAGGTGTTCGTGAAGGAACGCTTCAGCACAGTCTGTCAGCACTTCATCCGCTGGATCCGCGAACAGCCTGCATACAGTCTGGGGCCACCAGCCTGCTGGCCAGAGCGGAAGTCCGCATCAACATACTCGGTATCTCCATCAACCTTATTGAATAGGCATGACCATCACCTTCCAAATACCATCTGCTGGCACGAGCCTGATCAAACCTCTCCCACAGCACGTCTGAATTGGCAAAAGCAATGTCAGTACCTGAAGTGACATGGATCAGTTGACGAAGCTGGACAGCAACAACTAGGCCTCTGGGGGAGGGACACAGCAAGTATAGCTGACCTCATGAAGTCTGTCCCATCTCATGCCCATGTTTGATCAGCAACAGTCTTGGCACCTGCCCCCATGACACGCAGCCATCAGCAATATCACTTGGGGAGAGGGCCCTCGAATTTGAGCAGCGTGTTGAAATGGGAGTTGCGAAAGAACACCTCGCATGACTCAAACATTCCATCTCCTTGCCGGTTGCTTCCATGAAGACATATGTTGTTGTGTGCTGTGTGTTATGCACCGCCTCCACGTTGTCGCTCCTTGTAAACCATGCATATGACCTCTTCAAATCTGTATACAGCCTCTTTAGCCTCCTTAACTCTCTAAACTCGAGACTACGTAATATAAAAGCTGCATAACAAAGACTTTGCTAGAACTCTTTACATCAGTCCTCACGACCCAACCCTGACCACACCACACAGCGGGGGGCGGGGGGGGCAGAGGGCCTGCCAGCGCACGACCAGACATGCAAATAGAATTGCGATGCAGTAAAATCCATGCGCCCAGACGGATATAGTTTGTGCTGCTTCTTGACAAAGGCGATCGTGCAAAATGTAATACGTGCTAAGATTGATCTGAAGATTCCACGATGGCTGTTGCCTCACAAAGAGCCGCCGCAGAACTGCCAGACATGAGTCGACTATGACCACGACAAACCGTAGAAGATTTGCCTGTCATGCAGTGCACGAGAATACTGACTAGTGGTTCCAGGAATAGTCTCAACCCGTCATGAACAGTGAATCCATCTTTTCAACGGAACTTCGACCAACTCAGTCAAGTACCGACACCAGGCACCAGGTAGAAATCACTCAACTAGACAGAGCCCAGCTGGACGTAAAAGTTTGCCCACAAGCGTCCACCAACTCTCGAGCCACGTCGTTTCACAGACGTCTTATTCGCCACACACACGACAAGAGCGCCAAAACTATGCAGGATCATGATATGGCATCTGCAAATCCATGAGGTTCCTCCAGTGTTTGCAGATGTGCGTTAGCATAAACCGCAAACTCTACAATGCCTGGCGACTCTGCTCGGAAGAACAGCGGACGGTTTCGCATGCTTTGGGTTATTCAGTTCGGGGTTGGTAGCTACCCTTCTCTGCCTCGACCCACCGGCAAGCTTTTGGCTCAGCTGTGCATGTGATGACGTTCGACCATGGGTGACTAGGCTGTACCTGGTCTTCTCCCCTTTGGTGGAAAGCACTGTTCCTTACCTTCCAAATAACTCTTTCCAATCGTTTCCAGTTCCAGCATCCGGATACCTCCAAAATAACGTGTCTCTGACGCCTGGCAGAGTAGCAGCGCTTGACAAATATCCCACACATGACATCTACAACAAAAATGCAAAAGGTGAAAGGATCCAGATGCCCATGGACTTCTGCGAAATCGACATGCATTTTGCACAAGCAAGCTACAAACAACTAGAGCCTAAAGCAGATAGAAGGAAGAATCAAGCTTGCAAAGCAGACTGCGACGTCGCTGTGAATCTCAGACGGGACCAGACAGACCATGCCAGTCAGCCTCCTGATCAGCAGCCTCTTTGGTTTGAAATCAGAAAGAACACTGAAACTGGAGGCGGAACATCCGTGGCTGAAGCTTCAAGATATTTACGTAGTATGCGCAGTTTAACCCATTGCAACTTGCTTTGTCACAAACGGGCCAGAGCACAGCTAGTTGTCGTTCCCGAACTGCCCACTGGAGAGCCTGAGAAAAGAGAACAAATCACTGATTGCAAGGACAAAAACCACAGGCGCTCTCAGCCAGCACAAGACTCGGTCTGGTACGGGTATTCTGAATTCTGGTTTTATTCTTCACCCCTCTTGCTGCCTTCGTTGCAGCCGAGGCCCTGTACAACTCTGTACTCTGTACAACTCAGCTGCTCTGTCCCGAGATGACGCTCAGTGAACTTCTTCACCAAGTGCCAAAAACCAGCAGCTTCGGCAGTCACACCGAATCTTCTTAGTATGCCAAATTACAACAATTAAAAGCTTGTCAGAATGCTGCTTCGGTACCGTACAGGCTTTTGGTACTGTGGCGGTACCGGTGCACCGGTGCTGTGCTGCCATCACATTTGCTTGTCCACAAGGTGAAACTGGAAGATTGTAGATCCAAAACCTGACGTGGCACTCGTGACAGACATATGACATCACATGACATAACATTACACTACGTCATTAAGACGTTAGTCATTTCTGATGGCAAAGGATGTTGCAGCTAAGAAACTCGATCCAGACAACATTTCCAGACTCCGAGCCTCACTTGAGTACAGTCCGCCGGGCAAGGCAACATGCGGAAGCTTCAATTTCCCTCCGTTTGAGATTTTCTTATCACAGAAAAACTACATACTCTTTTTCGTTTGAGCCGGCCTTGTCCTTCGTTGTCGCCTGAGTGGATTACCACGTCTGGATCTGGCCGATTCGGCGCGTCTCAAGCTGACCTGATTGCAATGCTGAGACAAGGTCTGCTACGGGAAGCCTAGCTACGTACACAACATGTTGTGGAGACCTTTTCAACACTTTGGGTGGCAGGCCAGTAGATTACTAGCTGCAGCATTTGAAGAGACAGTTCCTCGTTGATTGGAGCCCTGCGAAGTGGTGAGAGGAGTTAGTCATTAACGGCGTGAGTACGTGAGGGATCTGGACGCAATGAAAACTTAGAGAAAAAAGGTGAAAGGTGCAATGAGTGCATAGGTGTGTTCGGAGAGCCACATAGAGAGAGAGATGGAGGAAGGGAGAGAGGGAACGATAGTTGGGAGTGAGTAAGTGGGTGACTGGAGGGGGGAAGACAGGGGAAATCATTGTAAGAGGAACGCGAATGCTTGGAGGAGTTGAGCAAGACAACTGAAGGAAGCATGCAGCGTGAGCGGAGTGACCGACCAGCTGGGTGGAGTGAATGAGTTGGTGAGTGCGTGGTTGAGCGAGCGAGTCAATGTAGCAGCGATGGGAGCAGGCCGTTGGGTTGCTTACTGAATAGGGGGATGGGGTGGAGGAATGAGAGACTGACCAAACAGGGCGAGTGGGGTGACTAAATGCCTTTTAGTGATTGAGCTAGCTGAGTGAGCAAGTCGAGTCATCGAACGCCTTTCCGGGAAAGCCTGATGTATGGATTTTGACCCTCCTCTCCCTTCCGAATGCATGTTTTGCTGTGCATCGATCCATTCCGACCATTTCCTCTGAGGTACCACTTACGGTGCTTTCCTGGCACAGTCTGCCCTTTCTGCTAAACTGATTGCCGGCTTGCTGTCTTGACATGGAACAATAAATGCGGACTGGGCGCCCTGTACTGCATTGGCAGCCTCTCTCTTGAGGGCAATGCTGAGTCGTTTCTGGGCAGAGTCTGAAAAACCACCTGCTCATCAGCAAAATTTGCGAAACGAAAAAACAACGCAAAAGACCAATGCCAACGGTGCCGAACGGAGCCCCGTCCAACCTTTGCTTCCCAAGGCTTCGCCGAAGGACTTAAGGTTGTCCTACAGAAAAAAAACTGTCTTCATGTGGTCCCTGCTTAAAGATTCGAAGCTGGAAAGTTTAGAAAGCTTGAAGCTTCCTGGCTTCCGGTCCTCCTCTGCCAACTCCGAGAGATGCGCGGCGCCCATCTGATGGCACCAGGCCTCTGCGGCAATCTCGTAGCTGGAAAGCCCCACGCTGCTCAACAGACCTCAAATGTCATGCTTTGCGCAGCTTCAACCCTCCACAAACTTCTTTAAGAGGCACTCCATTCCAGAAAAGTGTCTGGAGAGGCCAGGTACTGTTTCAGCACCGCGATAGGAGGGGCTTCCTTCAAGCCTCCATTCTCGCTTTGCCTGGGCGAACGCGCGCAAGGGACTCGCACAGCACCTCTTCCATTTTAAGCACGAAGTGTCATCTGCTCGAGGATCCGGCAGTGGTAGACTGACAAGAGCCCGAAATCTGCACATGGTCGAAGTCTTCGGAGTCACTAGATGATCCTTCCCGTGATGGCAATTGCGAACGAAGTGCGCAGCTCATGACTAATGAAAAAATGAGGCCCGATCCTGTCGGACTGAAGCAGTCATGAGGGATCAGGCGCGGCACCACTGCCATGGCCGGCATGACACAGCACGCCATAAGCAAGTGCCCCAGTGAAACCCTCACTACGATAACAAGAAGATAGCAGTTAAGAAGGAATCTCAAGCTTGAGCGAGAATTCCACGACAATACTTGCTCTTTCTCCGTGGCAGTGAAATGTGTCTCCCCTTAGCAGCGCGCTAGAAGTCCTTCAGGCGAAATCTGGGTCTGAGTGCCTCAGTGGTTGAAGTGCCCACCACACGAACCTAAACCACCAAATGTGAGCATCGAGCAGGGCCTCATCAAAAACAGTTTGCATGTGCACCAAGATTGAACTGAATTCAGCTTTCCGAGTCCGTCACGGTCTAGGAACTCCTAGCAAACGACAGGTTTACAACATGGTGACGAAAACAAGAATCTGTCGCAGCAGATCCGGCCTTGATGAGCAAACCCTCTTCTAAGGTCTTCTCGGACTGTGGACTTTGCGTGCCTATCTGGGGCTGCGATCGGCTTCGAGAACCCCAAAGCAGGTCAATGCAGAAAGTGATAACAATTGGATGGTGCTTGCCAGAGAACGAAAAATGGCGCGAGGCAGCAAACGCAGATTTGCGGTCACACTTTGACGACAGTCAAGCTTGACATCATTCATCCGCAAACCCCCTGCTGAGGCAGCCTCGCACAACTACATTCACATTCAACCCCACCCATGCTGGCCCCGAGTCGCCCTAACCTCCACCATCAAACTCAAAATGACCAAGCACTACTTCATTGCCACTGGATTGGATTCATCTTACCAGTGGTCAAATATTCATATCTGTGCTGGAATTCTTGCACACCTGATCATCGCCATCGACTATCAAACCCCTGGCTAAAGCTAGCAACTCTCTTTCGGTAGGCCCATGCTGCCTCCATCCTCACGCATGTTCGTCTGCAATTCCTTCAGCAAGCACTTATGGGATTGAATTATGAACGAGCTCTACACCACATCCTCGTAGGCTATCAGCTTCTCAACGACCTGGTTGTAAGATAGGTGAGAAAGAACTTCATGCGATCGTGTGTCCTCCCGAGCTTGCAACGTCTGTTGAACAGTGCAAGCATTCAGAGCAGAGCAGAGCAATCATCGTCGCAGTCCTCCTCCGTGATAATCCATCCGTGATAAAGAGCTATATCCAACCTATGCAAACGGAGCACACTCTGTCTACTTGCAGTCGCAGGCAGGTACTCATTTCGGGTGCCACGCATGTCGAAAACGGTTGTCTCCTGCGTGTACTCGAAGTCAGCAACACCTTCTGAAACATCTCAACATGCCCGAGACAACTGGGCAAGAGCAAGAGGCTACACCGAGCTGGTTGGGGACACACAGCATGCCCGGCATTGAGCTTAGAAATTGCCAGCTGGATTGTTCTGAAAATGGACTATTGAACTGCAGATGCAGATCTATAATTACCGAGTGTCAACCCAGTCCACCAAGCTATTGTACAATGTATCCTATTTGAAGGAAAATTTAGGTGACCGTAATTAGGCAAAAAGAAAAAATGCCACGCAGCGCATGTCATGTCTAGGAGCAAGGAGCTACATTCCATCTCCATCCCTTCATGTGAAAATGCTTTCCAGCAGAGCTCCGGAAAGCAATTCATGAAAATAAGCAGTCTACATGATTCCAAAGGCACTGCACCTGGTTGCTGCCCCGAGCATGCTAGACCCTGCCAGTACTGGTGAACAAAGTGCACTGGCACTAGCGCCTCCAAATCGGCAATTCACATCCAAACCAACATTGAGCTTTGGCCTGCCATTCATACAGCAATCTAGCAGAATCTACCATCGCATCATGGTACCGGAGTCTGCGGCTCATGATGAGAAGCAAACCTGCTGAGGCCAGCGCAACACTTCCAGACAGGAATTCAGACTTTCACGCAGATTTGCTGCACGTGAACCTGAAACGGCGCCAGGCGTCAGCTTGATAACGTCAGGTCCAGTAATCGAGCTTCCCAAGCACAAGCCATACGAGATTGCACATGATGCTTGCTTGACTCACCCAAATGGGGCAACCACTGTCACCACCACCTGAGAGGAGGCAGTGAAGGCCCGGCATCAAGATATCTGTGCATGTGTTCAGTTTGTAGGAAAAGAAACTCAGGCACACCACTGTCTTTGGAATTGGCTTCGAACAGCCAATCCGACACCATCTGTACCAACTCCGTGAAAGTCACGTACCTCGCACCATTTCATGTCAACATGGTTGACCTACAGTACAATTGGATGCATCGCCTGGTGTCTGGGCTAATCTTAAGCACGTTGCGCAACAGCAAAACCTCACTGATGGCAAATGTGCTTGGACAACATACCCAAATCCAGAGGCGGTATCGAGCCAAGCTGTCTGCATTGCATATTGCGAGAAGTGGACAAGGCCCATTCCTGCAAAAACGTTCATGACAGCAAACCAATATCATTCTGAAGGGCACTCTGACATATGTAAGGCTTGGGGTTGGACTTGCTTTGCAAAAGGATGCGGCGCTGGGCGCCGAAAAAGACAACATCCTGCACAAGAGCAACACACAAATCAACGCGCCACACAACTTTGGCACCTTCAACCGGTAATTGTCTGTGCTGTCTTCTTCCATCGGAAAACCCTCTTCAACACAAGAGGCGTCAACAATTCGATCTTCTGTGATACTGATGTTCATATCGTTGCAAATGTTGCTATTGCATACGAATATTGCATTGTACATGAAAACTGCATTGGTCCGGCTTACGTTCATGGATATCTAGACTATGGCGTGCAATGTACACTGTGACAAAATGACCAATCTCGGTCTGCTGCTTCTTGCACATCTTCCACATGAACAGAAATGCGCAGCTGCCCAACGCAATCGAGGCCAAGCCATCTGCCGTGAGAGAATGGATATGCGCTACCAACGTGACCACGTTGCACAACGTTTCCAGCGCAAAGCTGTGAATATGTAGCATCTTCATTACATTCGACCAAAACATGGTTGCTGTTGATTTCCGTACGAAACCAAATATCAAATCCCAAGCTTGCTTTTGATTCAAAACAACCTGGATTCACTGCTCAACACACCACTTCGTTGTGTGACGCAATACTAAAAATGATGCAGTTCTGCCACACCGAATTCTACCAAACACTTGAAAGAAGCCACATGGGGGGCAGGTGTAAGTTAGCGTACCAGAAAAATGACGACTTTTGCGAGCTTCGTTTGAAAACGTTGAAACAATGATCAATCTATGCTGCGGTCTGACCAGGCGCGTTGCGATTCTGGCTCGGAAGCTGTTCTTGGAGTAGCTTTAGTTCCTGGCCAAAATTCCAAAATTCAAGCCGCCGGGTGGACCCAAACCCAAAATGGGCCAACAAACCGCACGCAAAGGCAAAACTGCAACAATTCGAGCGTCTGCTTGGGATGAACTTCCCCAGGGCAAGGCGGGACGCGACGACTGATGCCTGAATGTCAGGCAACTGAGACTGAGTAGGAGCAGATGATGAAAGCGCTGCTGGAATCATTCTACTCTTTACATGATGACAGCCGTCAACATGCACGAGGAAGGCATCCAACACATTTCCATCGTGAGAACAGTACGGACGAAATGTAGAAAAATTATGTACGGTCACATATTGCAGCAACCTGGACCATCCCCTAATTCATTACTAGAAATATTGACCGTAGGACTTAAACGGGAACCTCTTATTATACATTACCCTGTATATCAGCCTCTTTGCTTGTTCCAGGGGTTAGAGGGTCAGAAGCTATATATAAAATCTTGGAAGCTATATATAAATTCTGGAAGCTATATATAAATTCTGGAAGCTATATATAAACAAAAAGGTGCCCCCTAAAATCAAAACCGAGGATCCCGTTTTAACCCTGAGCCTTTCCAAACCAACCCCTCGTAGGAGAGCCTCTTCCCTTTGCCTCCTTGGAACGTAGCCTAGATCGCAAAACCGGGGCCTCAACCTGAACCTATCCCTAGAACCTCTGCCCTTTGCCTCATCAGACCTTGGCCTAAATCCCTGAACCGGGGCCTCAACCCTCCTTAATTCCAGAACCCAACCTTAAAACCTGCGGACCTTCGCCTAAATCCCTGAACCCAGGCCTCAGCCCGAATTTTATTCCTGAACCTAACCTTAAACCCTGAATCTAACCTAACCTTACACCCAGCGCTTAAACTTAAGCCCCAAACCTCAACCCCAACCTTGCACCCTGAGCCTATACCTAAACCAGCTAGTGAAATCTTGCCTGTGTCAGGCGCAGCGGCGCACGTCAAGGGTTGTTCGGAGGGAGCCCTGGAAGGGACCCCTAACCCCATTACCATATATAACTTATTATAACTTAACCCTTATATATAGGCCTTATATACCCCCTATATAACCAGGTAGTACCCATATTACTCCCAATAAGTTACAAAGGTCCCGGATCCCCATTGAGGGTCCCTCCTAAAGCCCCTAGAGCACTGGAAGGGAAGCTGAACTAAGATAAGGTAGGGTTAAAGTGGCAAGCCCTTCCCCCAACCCAATAATCCTAGACCCTAAACCTAAACCTTAAACCTGAACCGATTTGGATTTGGGTATGAGTCCGAATCCTGAAAATTGTGCTGGAATCCACGCTGTCTGCTTTTTGGCTGGGATCGGCCCATGAGTGTGCACGCTTCTTGCTTGAGATGCTGCCTGCTTCTGCAGATTTCTGCAGGCTTTGAACAAGTTCGAATCCAAAATTCGACCACGCAGGGTGGGGCAGGGTAGGCTAAGCGCAGGTGGGGGTATGCTTTCAAAATGCCCCCAAACGCCTGATCCTAAAGTACCCTTTTACAGACCCTGGACCCTGATCCCCAACCCGGGTCTAGCATGGCCGTATGGCTCATGACCTCCTTGGCCTTGGCCACCAGTAGAGACCTACTCTGCTTTGCACGCTTTGGCGACACGCTTCGGCTCTGCGCCCTCGTCCTGGGCTCTCTTCCTTGGCGGGAATTAGGGCGTAGGGTTTAGGGCACTTTAGGGGGCTTAGTTTAGTGTTCGGTTTAGGGTTTGAAGGTTTAGTGGGACAAGAAGCCTAAGCTACATCGTCGAGGTGGGGTGGTAGGGACTAGTAGTTAAGGAGATTGGCTCAGATTGACCCAAATAGGAATAGGAATCCTACAGTCTATGGGGGTACAAAGAGAGCTTGAAATCATCGCAAAATGTGGGGTCTTTTGTTTGTTGCTGTTTCAAAAAGGCATCTGCTCATCACGTGGTTCCTGGCATTTGCTGAACCCCTGGCCCCTACTTGGAGGCTCATGGGTAGCGCAGCATATTACTGGTTACTTTTACTGCCCGACTATAACCATAACACCATAACTACTTGTTGGTGCAAACTGCCCATGAACCTCCAAGTATCCTGTACCAACCACTTCTATTGCAAGGGCAAGAGCTTCCGGAGGTCCGGAGGCTGCCCCAGTAAATTTCGGGTGAAACCGTGTTGCCCCAACACAGCCCCATTCACTACATGAAGGTGTAGTGTTGCCTAAAGATTCGCACGCTTCTACAAGGATGCGCGCCCCTGCTGTGCTCGGAGAGCTCTGCTCTCAACTCAACCCTCAACCCTAAACCCAAATAAAGTAAACCATAAAACCTCGACTCAAAAGCCCCAGAGCCTGTGCATCCCAAACAACTTGAAATAACCCAAAACCTAAACGCTAATAATCCGGTAATCCGACTATTTTTTTTCGTAAGCTGAACCCTGAAACAATCCCTACATGACCTACGCCGCCCTATGCCTATACAACCCTACTCTAGTCAGGGAAGCTACGCTTAACTTCCAGTCTGAAACCCCAAATGCTGCTTTGTCGTTGGCAAAGCACTTGACAGTAGCAGCGCTTCCGTGTGCTTGGAATTTGGTGCACACAGCGCTCGAGAGATCCTTCGGGGTGATGCCTAGCTTGGTGGTGAAGTAAGTGCCCAGCTTTCTTGCTGAGGCAAGCTGGGCGGCGCTATCCTCCCCTTTTTCCTCAGACTGGTAGACCATTGATATCACCATGAGGGTCCCAACCACCTGGGACACTTCAGCACGCATCTCCTGAGAAAGGTTTGGGGAGTTATGGGCACGGGTCACGGACCTGCGCTACGGTGAGCCTATACCCACATTTTCCTAACAGGCACACTCGCCTTGGCTTGTCTCCACAGGTGCTGGTGGAATGCCAGGGATGGATCCCAGAGGCAGCGGCCATGGCTGGTCCACTGGTTCGCTGAAGACACCCGTGAAGAAGTTCGTCGCCCAGCTTCCTGGCTGAAGCTTTGGCTTGAGGAGGCGGACGTGCCCGGTCCTCCTGCAGGCCCCCCGCCTGCACAGCCAGCTGAACCACGCACTTCGGCTGTGCTTCGTCTTCTACCTCCACTACTCCAGGTGACGTTCCTATGGCCCCACGGACTTTGCCTACGTCCCAGCCTTCGGCGCAGGCGGCGGCATCCAACCCTCGGGGACGCCCACCCAAATCAACGAAGTGATCGTGGTTCAGCAGATTTATTGCCGCAGCCCTTGCACGATGCGCGGCTCTGGCCATTGCGAGCTTTGTCTTATTAGAGCGGACTTTCCGCACGTGCATAGGCGCAGCCCCTGCTATAACAAATGGAAGCGGGGCGACGCCTAGGCTTTGGCTTTAGTCCTGGCCTGCTGTATCTATGACCAAAGTTTTTCTTTGGCTTTACAGCTTTTTCTTTGGCTGCGCACGGCTTCAGCCAGCTTTCTCTGGTTGTCGCCTAAGCCCTGGAATAGCCGGCTTTGGCCTTGTACATGTAGCTCAGGCACGTGGCATACCCTTGGGTTCATCGCCCCTTTCTTGCCTGGAGCATTCGCTTCGCAGAGCACATAGACATAAGGCAACTGCACATGCACTCTTTTCACATATTCGGGCTTGCAAACACATGTTGTCTTGCGCTCTCGTATTCACTCCTGCCCCCCCCAGGCCTCACGTCCCTTCTTTAGCTTTGGGGGGGGGGGTTGTCAATATCCCCATACAACACCTGGGCTGTTAATATCCCCATAAAATACTTGCTGTCTCATTTTAGTCACGCTGAGCACGAGTGGCATTCGCATGTACATCCTTCAGCGCCGCTGTTGCTTTGCAAGTCTTCTTTTGAGTCATGTGGGCGCGATTTTGGACACTTGTTCACCTGCTCGCCACGCTCAGGCAAACATGGACGTCCCAGACGCAGTTCCGGCACCGGCACCGGCCCCCGTGGCTTTGCCTAACCTGACCGATCACATCTGGTCTCTGCATGACGCGTTGCAGCTTCAGGTGCCCTCTGACTTGTTGGATCACCCAGAGCTTAATAGATCCATTCAGAGCTTTGGCCTTGCCGCTACCACCTTTTCTCAGTTTGACGCTTGGTTGACGGACTTAGGCTTTATAGGGGAGCCCTCAGGTGGCTTGGCAGACCTTAGGTTGCCTTGGCATAGGCATAGAGCACACATCATGACCTGCAACATGCCTTTGCCTTCGGCGCCTGGCTTTCCTCCACCTGCTGTGGCCCCATCAGCTGCAGGGCCGCCAGGGCAGCCCTCATCAGAGCCTGCATCATCATGGCAAGAGACGTTTCCTGCCAAGTTGTCTCCTGAAAAAACGTTGGCCTTGAAAC